TGGGTGTCCGTTGAGGTTGCGAAATGATTAGCGCTGATGTCGAATCAGAGGAGTTCAGAAGTGATGCAAGGGTGGATCCTTGGGATCCAAGTATGGTTGTAGTCATGAGTTATGTATACGAGGGTGTACCATCCCAGGGGTGTCTGGACCCGTTATAGGCGTGCCTGTTATGCCAGCCCGAGGCTGATTGGGCCAGGTACGAGTGGTTACACGTTGTAGTTAGTTGAGTTTGTGAGTGGAAGGATGTAGTATCATGTCAGCTCGTAAGGGATAGATTCATAGGGGGAACGGGATTCGTTCCAGGTTGCAAGTTATCCGGGTTATCGCCAATTTTGGGCGAAGGAAGATGGGTTAGTGTCTCAGCAGAGCTTAGTGGGTGATTGTAGTATATAGTGTTAGCAGGGCGCGGAGGTGTGTCCCTGATATGAAGGGATAGTATCATCGGGTGATACGTGGGTGATATGTGGTGCTATTGAGTTGAAAAGCCGATGGTCGGCTTGGAATAGTGGCGAGGATGCCACGCGAGAAGAAGTCGTTATAAGAGAGATACAGTAGTAGGGTTTGCAAGAACTTGAGTTAATTGAGAAATCGGAGTCTGCAGTGCAAGGGGTTTGTTCTGAAGCGTACACTGCAGTAGGCTTCGAGGACGAAGCCTAATTTAAGTGGGGGAGAATTATAACACCCCAAATTCAGAAACAAGAGTTCAGGGGTGTAAAGTGTAATTAGAAGGATGGACTCGGCGAGTAGGAGATATGACTCGTCGATTCGGAGCGTGTGGAGAGCACGTGATAAGTGGCCTGACTCGCCGAGTCGGCGGCTGGACTCGACGAGTCAGTGCTGAAAGAGGAAAACCCTAATCTTAGGGTTTGCACCCTATATAAAGAACATTATATCCTCCCCTCGGCCCCTTACTATCCTGAGAGTTCCAGCAAACCCTAGTTCGTGTGAAACACCATTGATTGAGGAGATTGGAGCTTGGAAGAAGATTTTGGTGTAAGAAGCTTGAGGAATTAGAGGCTAGCATCAAGGGGCTTGTGTAGATCTGGAATCTACATTAGTTTGGGCACATCTCAGAGGTAAGAAGCCGTTATTCTAAGCTATTTCCTTTTTAGATTCATCCATGGTGGTTGATTTGGGGTTCCTTAGCTTGTTTGAGATCCATTTCGGGTTTAGAGGCTAGATCTGAGGTTGCAACTTCGGATCTAGGTTAGTTTTGAGCTATGAGAGCATAAAGCATCATCCTTTGGGTTTTTTTGAGAGCATCCTTGTCTTAAACCTTTGTTATAGCTTGTTTGGAGCTCTTAGTGTCTTGTATGCACGTAAAGTTGGAAACTTTACGTGTGAATCTAGCCCTAGCTCATCAGGTTATGATGCGTCTGTATAGAGATGCCTTGAATGGACTCGGCGAGTCTGTTCTTGGACTCGACGAGTTGGGTAGCAAACCCTAACTCATCAGGTTATGATGCGGATCAGTGAGTCGAGTGGACTCAGTGAGTTGGACAGGCCAAGACTCGGATGGAAGGACTCGACGAGTCATGGGGTGACTCGGCGAGTCGAGTCGGGAATGGTGGGATTCTGAGTGCAGCAACTCGGCGAGTCACTAGGTTGACTCGGCGAGTAGGGTCAACCAGGAAGGTTGACTTTGACTGAGGACTTTGACTTTGACCAAGAGTTGACCAGTTTGACTTCCAAGGGTATTTTGGTAATATTGGTGCTTATGAATCTGGTTCTTGGTAGTGTACGGTGGTGGAGTTCGTGTCGGTGGTCGGAGCAGCTGATCTTATCCTTTCAGTCGGCAATTACGAGGTGAGTTATCCTTACTATATCAACAGGGTCTACGGCACCAGGGTCGGCCCTTTATCGGATGGGAATCCGGGTATTTGTTTGATATGTTTTTGAGTTGCTAGATCTGCATCCTGGTTTTAGGATGGTGTTATGTTAGTGACCTGGTTAAGGTCGGTGCCTTGGTATGTAGGGTAATGTTATGTTAGTGACCGGTTAGGTCGGTATCCTGGTTAGGATGTTGTTATGTTGCATGATCTGATAGATTCGTTTGTTTAACTGAGGATTGTTACGTGGTTAACTGTTTTATGTGCACATGGTTGTTTGACTGGGGTTGGGTTGAGGCGGGTCCTGCTTTGTGCTGTAGGCCAACATACCCAGGGCGGACCGGAAAGACCGAAGGCCCAGCGAGCGGTCCGGATAGGCTGAAGGCCCCGAGAGGGCGGTCCAGACGTGTCGACGCTCGGAGAGTGGACCAGGCCGACTGAAGGCCCGGTGCGGGCAGACCAGTCATACTGTAGACTCAGAGAGTGGACCAGGTGGATTGAACGCCCGGTGCGGGCGGACCAATCACACTGTAGACTCGGTATACGTGGCCAGACTCGGAGAGTGGACCAGGACGACTGAAGGCCCAGTGCGGGTGGACCAATCACACTGTAGACTCGATGGGCAAGACTGTTCTGTATTGTGATATGATATGTGTATGGTTATATGTGGTTGGTATTTTGGGGGTAACTCACTAAGCTTTCGGGCTTATAGTTGTAGTGTTATGTTTCAGGTACTTCAGGAGATTGTGGCAAGGCGAAGGCGTGATCATACCGCTCCTCATGTTTCATGATTTTGTGATTTGGTTCTGGGGATACTCTGATGTTTAAACTCTTTTGAAAACAAGTTGTAATAACTTAATGGCTTTTGAATGAATTAAAAAGTTTCAAATCGGTGAAATTTTAATGAGTGTTACAGTTTCCATTCTGTGCCTAGTACGCTCAGCGTACCCTCTGGTACGCCCAACGTATTAGGTGGCTCCGCTTAAATATCACGCACATGAGTACGCTAAGCGTACACACAAGTACGCCCAACGTACTCCGCTGCCACCTTTTTCAATTAAAGGACTTATCCTGCCATAACTTCAAACTTCCATTGCTTCCTCGATATAACTCCGTTTCCAATGAATCTCATATCCTCGGAAAGGTGTCGAGATGCTCAACGCTTCCAACAACTCGTCGCAACCCCGAGACTTCCTCATGCCCAGGCTGCAGCCCACAACCCTAATCTTAGACGATCCGAAACAGGATGTTACACACCATTGTTCTTTTCTCGTGTTTGTTTCTTTTCCTTGTTTCTCTGCAGTCTTTTCATAGCTTTAAATCTTTGAAGCTCTTCAAAGTCCCTAATATATTTCTCAATTTGCATCTCTTTTTCATGAGAAAGGGCATTTGTTTCTCTTGCCAATGTGACTATCTGAGGCGCTTCACCCCTGTGCCTCTAATGGTTGCATCCTCGTGACTGGACTGTTGTTAACGTTGTTGGTAGGATTTTCGGTAGTGACCATTTTTTGAGTGGTCCCACGGATGGCGCCACGTGATGCGTATCCGAATTTCAGTCCCTGATGATCCTAACGACTCGAAGATGCTTTAGCTCCAAATCCTGATATAATAACACACAAGTGAGTCGTCCATCGAGATTGCTCCCAGGAGAACGCTTTGATGATGAAGTCTAAAAGTGAGAGAGCAAGTTATGATTGTATGAGTATAGGTCACAAGTATTGGTAATCTACCTTTTCCGACCTACCATGGTTCTCTTTATAGTTCGGCTTACCTCGGGAAACAACGACGTGAAATGTACTGTGCAGATAAGGGTCTAATCCTCATAAATGCTTTCCTTACCGAGCGTACAAGAATTGTACTAAGGAGATGTCATTGGTCATGTCAGTTGGTTAGTGGTGAATCGTTGGTAGACTAAAGTACACTACGGCCTGAACTTTTTCCTTATTATTAGTTGTGCATCGATTGCTTGTATCCGATGCTTGCTCCTTCGCTTGACCTTGCTCTCCCGACCTTGCCGTCCGGTATAATCGCCTCGGCGTAAATGGTTCGGAAGACCATACATCGGTATTCTGGTCCGGAGGTACATACCTCGGTAATTAGGTACCTACCTGATCGTTACCCTTCTAGTGTATGTGGGTGATATAATCATCACTGATGCTTCACAAAAAGGTATTTTTGTCTTAAAAGAACAGTTGAAAGAAAAGTTCAAATTAAAGGACATAGGATCATTGGAATATTTCTTATGATTGGAACTTGCACAATCAAAGGAGGATATTATGGTTTCACCACACAATGCAATTAATTGAAGATGCATTTGGCAGATAAACCAAAAAAATACTCCAATGGAACCACGAAGCTCTTTGCATGCTAACATGGGAGAAGATTGTCATGATCGGTTGACTGGTAGAATGCTCTACTTAAACATCGCAGGTCTGATATATCTTTTGTAGTTCAAAAATTGTCACAATTTATGTCCAATCCTAAAGTTTCACATTTCAATGATGCATGTCACTTAGTAAGATACTTAAATCAGTCACCAGGTCAAGGGATTCTTTCCTGCAAGTTCAAAGTTTCAATTAAAAGGTTTTTGTGACTCAGATCTGGAAAAGTGTCAAGATTCTCGAAGATTAATCATTGGTTTTGGTATTTTCTTGGGTGATTCATTAGTATCTTGGAAGTCAAAGAAGCAACCAACAGTGTCAAGGTCATCAACAGAGGTTGAATACAGGCAATGGCTATTACAACATCTGAATTGGTGTGGTCACAACTTTTAAAGGACTTCAATATTGACATCAAAGCACCAACTTTGCTCTTATGGGATAATGGTGCTGATCTCCAAATTGCTACCAATCCAACCTTCCATGAACGAACGAAATACATAGAAATGGATTGTCATTTTGTTCGTGAAAAAGTGGTTGATAAAACAATCAAATTACTTCCAATTCGATCATCATTACAACTTGCAGACAAGTTACAAAGCCTTTACCAAGTACCAAGCTTCAACCTTTTCTCATCAAGATGGGTCTGAAGAATGTCTCCATCTTGAGGGGGAATATTAGAGGGTGTTATTGTAATTTAGAGACAAAGGATATTTCTGTCTTTTAAGTTGTTTGTTAGCTTGAAGTTGTTATGTTGGTTAGTATTTTAGCTTTCCCTCCTTCATGTATAAGTGTAGTGATTTACATTGATTTCAGTTTGAGAAAGACATTTCCAGATTACAATTGTAATAATTCGATACAATGCCAGAATTACATGCATCAAGAACGAATCATTGACTACGTAAATAAACTTTCATGTTCATAAATTTCTGTGTATACACATGGTGTTCATCAAGAACACTGAACTTCTGCGCTTGTAAACTCGTTTGATTTCGTGCATAAAGCTAGATCATAGAGCTTCATTTGCTGTTAATCCTGCAATGTCCTTGAGCGGTGTCCACACGAATTTTCTCCTGTAAATGCCGCCTCAGTTAGATAATTATCGAACAAAGCTTAGAAACTTAGTTCTATGCCCCATAACTCAGTAGTAAAACGATCATGAGACCTTAAAGCTAAAGATTTTAAAAATAGCTTACCAGTTACCACATTCTGCGATGACCCTAACTTTGGGCCGGAGTGTAGGGAGCAGTGCAAGAAATTGCAGTTCTGCTTTTGAGAGAACCTGCAACGAGAAAAACAACTTTGGATTGTGTTCATGACTTCATGTGTTGGATCTTGAAGAAAAGTTATAATAATTAACACAAGTTCAAGTTAAGTTTGTGTTTAAATTAACCTTCGCTTCTAGGATCCAGACCACCAAACCTTTCGCATCTGGAGGAAGCAAAGATAGCCGATAATCAACCTCCGGTGGAAAATACCACCTTGCAATCGGCTGCTTTCCAATATGAGCCTGTGTATTTCAAAGAGTTTTTACCTTTTTTTATCGACAACCATGAAAGTGAACAGATAATGAGGTGCAAAACGAAGAACTCACAGGACAAACTGGATGAATCTTGGTTAATGTCGTCTCTGGGTCGCCTAGACCACGAGCTGATAGGTCCAAGAACCGGTAGCCTTGGTACCTAAGCCGATTAAGATAACGGCCTTCGTAGCCTCCCTCATGTGGAGGATATATAGCAATGGCTTTGTGTTCTTCGACATCTGATAGCCATTTTCCAAGATCAGGCTTTAGAAGATCTCCTCCTACGAAGTCTGAAAACTCTCGTGCACATTTTATAGTTCCTTTTTGGTACTTTGTGCGTGTCAATCCCTTGTTTGAAGACGAAACTCTGCTTGTTACTGGCGGGTGGCGGTCGTGGTGGCTGAAATTGGGTGAAGAAGGTAGGAGTGCTGAATTGTAAGAGCAGGCCGTGGCTGCCATTTTTGTGAAAATTTCAAGTAGGGTGTTGGGGGTGGAAAGTTGCCATTGGAGAACATGTGAAAATGAGTGGATTGATGTTGGTGGTGTTCTATGGTGGAAAAACAAGATAAGGAAAATCGTTTGTTCTTGGTTTGCTTATTTGATTTTATATTTTCACCCTTCTATTATAAGACTATCTTCAACTCTCCTTTTTCAATTACAAAAATTTATTAGACAAAATTACATAAATGGTCTCTTGGTTTACGAAAAGTCAAACTTCAATCCATGGTAATTCCTTTTGATAAATATTGTCCTTTGGTTTCTAAAACTTGTATCGTTTTCTATATTCTTTTCCCCTTTATTTTATTTTATTTTTTTATTAACTTATTCCTAATATATATATATATATATATATATATATATATATATATATATATATATATATATATATATATATATATATAGTATTTAGTTATATTAATATTTATATAAATAGTATTTATTCATATTAATATCTTATAAATAAACCCAAAACAATTTGTCAAAACCTTCGTTCGTGCCTCCCTTGGATCATTTTTAACGTTCACACTCCGTCACTATTGTTGGAAGATTTGAACCAGTAGTTCAAGTTCCACATGTTTGCAGGTTTATCGAGAACCTATTTCTTGTTTGAATATTTAACTGGTTGGTAGGTTTGCATGGAACCAACATTTGTGCGACTACTTAGTCTTACGTCTTTTGGAAGATAGATCGTGTCCACAGTCAAGTTTGTAATATTACTATTAATAGTATGGTCATTTTTGATTGCGCGCAAGAAAGATTTAAGTAATAATTGACAAGAGAAAAATAAAAATGATTTACTTTGTTAATTTATTAGAGATTAATAAATTAATAGAAACTAGTGATCTTTAAGGGTTTAAAGTGAAATATAGTTGTTTTGTGACTAAGCAAGCACTTTCAGGAAACCCTAATTTCATATATATATAAATAGAGGTGTTTGGATGACTTTAACGAGGTTGGAAAACACTCAAAATTCGTCAAAACCCTGAGCCTCTCGAAACCCTCCTCCAGCAGCTAAGGTGTGGCACATCTAACCACAAATTTGTTTTTATACTTCATGTTCATTATGTTCGGGAGCTAGGAGTAGTTTCAAGTGTTGTTGAATCTTATCTTGGGTGCAAGTATGAACGAGGAGCTCTATGTTGAGCTCTTAGCATTCTCTCTCCATCAAAATCAAAAGAAGATTATAAGGGACTACAAGTGTATGCTTTTCTAGATTCTTCTTGTTTATTTAGTTGCAATAGATCTAGTTGAACATGAATCTGATTTTGGCTTATGAGGCTATTGTTTTTATTGCTTATGATGTTTGCCTTTCTGACCTCTTAAATCCATCATAGCCTAACAGTGGTATGAGAACTACGTGTTCACGTCTTTTGCACTTAAACTTCCAATATGTTTGTGTTAACTATATTTTCATGACTAATAAACAGATTAGATCAAGTTTTTGGAATATTTTTAAAATAAAAAAGAAACATTTTTTCGAAAACTGAAAATCGATTTGGGTTACATCAGAAATTCTCTTTTCGATCGCAACATGAGTGTGTATGACACGGTGTAGCCCGTGTTGGACACGACATATAGCTACTGTTTACAGAACCAATTTTGGTTTTATTTTGATCTAAAAATACTTGATCCCTTTTTAGCATCTAATTAAGAATAGCATACACATGCAAATCAGGTGATTTTACAAAGTTGGTTATCACTTTTATTTATTGTTTTAATTGTTTAATTCTTAATTGTTAGCTAAAGTCAATAATTAAGACATTATTATTTGGATGATTTCTTACATGTGAGATCATAAAAGCAATAGTATGTTTACTTGCATTAAACTTTATAATAATTAATTTAATATAAAAGTTGTAATCCCAGTTCAATTTTTTTTTAAAATTGTATGTATCCGATACACCGAGCTTCGACTTAATCTATGTGTTGTGTCCTGATTGTGCTTTTGGTCTTTGTGACGTTAATGTAATTTATTTTCCTTTTTCATATGTAATTTTCTTGTAACACCCATTTTCAGAACAAATAGGTTAAAAACTTAAGGGGTCAAAGATAAGGTTTTTGGGCAAAACTAAATGTCACGACGTGGTGGGTTGATGACCACGATGTGGCATGTCACGTAAGTGAAACGCATGTTCTGATAGACACCACAACGTGGAAAGAAGGATGGAATGTCGTGGATATTGTTGCATCATAAACCCATCATTTTCAGGGTTTCCTCCGTATTTAAGGACCTTAACCTTAGTGTTAGGTCATTCTCTTCAGCCTCCACCTTCTTATCTTGAAATACCTAGCCCCATTTGAGTGTTCTTGAGGTGTTCTTGGTGTTCTTGGTGTTCTTGAAGTTTGAAGCATTGGATTTCATCTTGGGAAGAAAAAGAAGGTGTGCTTATTAGTTGGAAGAATGTATCTACTTTAGATTTTGCATATCATGCATCTTGTTGAGCTTAGGAAGGTATAAAGCTTATACCTTTATCTTTCTTTTCTCTTATTTTATGCCTTGCAGTCCTTTGAAGGAATGACCATCTTTTGGCCTTATTTGATGGAAAAAGTGTTAAGTTATTGCCCTTATTGTTCCATGCACAAGTTTTGGTCATATTAAGGACTTAATGGACTTAGGGTTTAAGATTTTGTCTTGTGGTAAGGTCCTAATGGATAAAGTTGGAACTTTATCCATTAATTCATTAAGAAGAGTCAGATCTGGAAGTGTGAGCCTTGATCTATAAGGATTAATCTCTTAATGAGAAAAATTGCCTTATGGTAGTAACCCCGACGTGGCCAAGGAATGATCACAACGTGGTGGTGTCCTTCATGTTGATCGTTTTGTCCTAACATGCCCACGACGTGGACAAGATCCCTCCAAGTTGCGATAAGAGTTGACTTGGTTGACCGTTGACTTTTTTTGGTCGTTGACTAGTGACTTTTGACCAGTTTGACCTTAGGTCAAACTTGAAGGATTTGGGTTATTAATTGAGCATTGATCTTTATTGGTGTTAGTCGGTTCATGGGATTGATCAGTACAAGGAGTAAGAGGGTTGTTGTGTTTCTTCGGTTCTTCCGTTTAGGTGCGTCTTCTCATTATGCTACATATCCCATTGTATATACTTTATACGTTAGGATAGTGGTACTGTTAAAGTACAAGTATGCTATATGACTAGGATTACTACTTGTTACGTATATGAAGTATGGGACACGTGGTGTCATGGTATGTTAGACTAGTAGGGTCTTGCATGTTGATGGTATGATATAGTTAGGAGTTAAGTTTGGTTAGGGTAACTACGGAAGCCCGATTATCAATATTATGTATGATTGACCAACGAATGACTTAATTGAGAAGTGGTCAATCGTAGGATAACTAGGAAAGGCTAGTTGTTGGATCTATGTGCTCAAGATTCATTATTGAATGATATTGCTAATAACATATTATCCTATAGGGTCACAACTTATCAAGTTGGCACATTTTGAATATTTATTATTAATATGATTATTAATAAATAAGATCAACTCTTGTGTTTAATTATGGAATAATTATTGTTTTGTGAAAATAATAATTAAAGAGAGAAAAACTTGTTATTATATCATATAATATGATTTTATAAGTCATGTACAAAGTTTTTGAAAATTTGGTAAATGATAGACTTACTAGTTAGTTAGTTTTTGGTTTAAGAAACCTGCCTAACCTTTTTGCCCTCTTCTTAAAAGGGCATACCCGAATTTTTTATGTAAGCATGGAGGCTGCTTGTCAACCTTCATCACTTTTCCCCCATGTTTCTAAAAGGATAGAATTACATTATATTATTACAATGTAAATGCTTTTCATTCATGGGAATATAAAAGAAATGCATGCACTTGCATTTTTGGCTAGTGAAAACTCTTTTCTTCTCCCTCTTTTCTACACCAAAACTGTAGCATGTATGTTACTTCTTCTTCTTGCTTTCTTTTGAAGATTATTGCAAGTCTTTGGTGCTTTTGTGTTTTCTACTTCAGTGATTATTTTGGTTAAGCATTTAAAGGCTTAAGAAAATCAAAATACAAGATGAGAACTAGCATTCCAAGTGCCTTGCTCTTGATGGTGGATACATTGTAGAGAAATCATAATCTAGAATTTTTGATATCTTCATCAACTCCCCAATTCCAAGTGGGATCAAAAGGCTTCAAATATTATCTATTAAACATCACATGGTTGTTATTATCTTTCTAGTTCATGTATTTGGATCCTCTTGGTGGTTTTGTTAAATTGATCTAAAAATAAACTAGTTATTTTTAAAGTCTTCTGTTTGCCACAAAAACTGTTTTTATAAAATTAAAATCGTGTTTGGTTATCAAAACTCATCAGTGGTATCAGAGCCTCTAATACATGTTTAGAAATTTTTATTTAAGTGTTTGATAACCTTTGGTTTTGGAAAATATGTTTGGTATTTCTTTTGGCAAAGAAACCACCAAATATATTTTCTATGGCAACTTCGATTTTTATAATTGTTATTTTTATGCAACCAAGTTATTTCATGCATTGTGGTTGGATAAAGTTGCCTTAGAAAAACAAAGTGTTTGTTGGTATATATATATATATATATATATATATATATATATATATATATATATATATATATATATGTGTGTGTGTGTGTGTGTGTATGATGTGTATAAACTAGTTATGGACCATTGTGTTTGTTGTATGTGTTGATTTTTAAAATTGTTATAATATTTATTTATTCATATGGTATGTAATTATTAAATAGTTAGTTTTCTTGTTCCTTTTTGTAAGTAACAGAGTAGTTTTTAGAAATAAATTTTTTGTACAAAAATGTAACAAAAAATGAAAATGGAGCCATTTTTTTGAAGACCAAAATGTCATTTTCACAACTTTGAAGTGTGTAGTGGCAATTGCGACACTTTCTGCAAACTGATGTTAAAGGCGTTGCTACAAGTAGTTTCCACAAGGGTTGTTGTTCCTAATCCAACACTTTCTGTAACATTTTCTGAAAAGTGTTGCATGTTGCTGAATTAGTTACCTTTCAAAAAGTTTTTCATCTTTTGCAAGCAATTGATGTTTTCTGAAGTTTTTCAACAACAACACTACTAGA